TATATATATATATATATATATATATATATATATATATATATATATATATATATATATATATATGTACATAATATATATAAAATTTTCAATGATTCGTCTGCTTTTCCCCCTCATAATTTATAAAATATCATAAATTTGAGATTGGGAAATCAGGTAACTTAAAATAACGTTACGATAAATAATTGATTTTTACAGATCAGAACCAAAAGTCGTGGAGACAACTGAGCCAGAAACCACGACATTGAAAATATCCTTGGCGACTGGGGAACCTTACGGTCCCCGAGTACGTTTTATCAGTGAGCAAGCCGAAGAGGAGAGCTCGGATGACGAGCTGGAGTCGGAGAGCGAAGAAGAAGACAGGTATCTTCAAAGAGAGCAACCAGAAGTACCTTCTGAATTCTGGCACATACAAAAGCTCATCAAATACATGAAGGCCGGCAACCAGACCGCCACTATGGTATCCTTGTGCCTCCTAAAGGATTATGATCTCACGAACAAGGTACATCATGTCTCACTAATTATGCATATTATGCTTTCTCTGCTTGAAATATTTAATAAGAATATATAGAAATACTTGATAAGGATATATAGATGTACTAATTGTATGGGACACAACTTCCTCTGAACTTATCATTTCTTTCGGGAATCTCAATTTCTCATTATCAAAAAGATTATCAATTTCTCATTCAACTCAATCAACTCTCATTCAACTCAATCAACTTTCTTTCATTCTATATCATAACCTACTTTTAACGACTAAAGTCAGTACCCAGGAAGCAAACTAACATTAAAATGGCGTCCAAATCTGATCAGTTCATGACCAAAAATGACCAAGGAATGACCAAAAATGTCATGAAAATATCGTCAAAATGACGGTCTAATGTCACAGACTGATGACGACATTTTAAGTCGATTTAATAACATTTTAATGTCATTAAAACATCTCTAAATGTCATTAAGACGTTATACAGAAACGTCATTAAGACGTCACAAAAAAGACGTCTCAAAGACTTCATTATTTAGTTATTTGACGTTAATCGATCAGTTATGACCAGTTTTTGACATCATTTTGATGTGAGTTTGCTATTTGAGAAGGGTCTATAAGAGCCAAGCATAGATGTTATAAACACTTATATTTATACAGAGCTGCAAACAATTATATTTATCTATAATTATATATGTATCAATGTCAATTATTTATATATTATTATTATATCAGTCTAACCCTTATAGAAATATCATACTAAGAATCATTGATAATTACTTATTATCCAGTATTTTTAATACTGAAAATAAGTAATTATCAATGATTCTTAGTATGATATTTCTATAAGGGTATATATATGTTTTTGTGGACTGTGATGTAATAATAACAAATATAATTATATATATTATATATATTATAAATAAATGTAATTGTGTTTATAGTGTTACAATCGTGTTTAGCTCTTATAGGACCTTTTTTATATTAATTTTAATTTGTCGGAACTTTTCCGATTTTCTTTATTGTTTGACGATTATATATTATACTAAATATTTATCTAAATACCCCTTTGTCTTTCTATAATTCTATATAATTTCTATATAATTTTATCATTTTTTATTAAAAACACGATATATTTATACAGAATTTTCTTAATTTAGAGTAATTTTCTTGCAACATTTATCTTTATCCTATTAAATTTGTTTATGATGGTGATAGGATATACAAAAGGCTATTCAAGGAATGGGTGGTCTCGAAGTCTTGGTAAACCTTCTCGAAACAAAGGATATCAAGTGTCAGAATGGTTCGTTGTCGGTTCTGCTGCAAATTGCGACTTCCATAGAGATGAAGCGGCATCTGATTGACTTGGACATCACGACACCATTAATTCAGATGCTAAAACATCCCGCCAGAGATATTCAGGTCGTTCATTAACTCCACATCACTTGTATTTAATAAATTTTCGATATCATGATTAATTGTCGATTCCCAATTTAGTCTAGATAAGCTGATAAGCTGATCAGTTAATTAAATTTGTTTATTTAAATACGTTGAGATACTAAATTTAAGCACACGTGGGGGAATTAATTTTATTCTTAGGTTTTAGCGGCTGAAACGATGGCGATCATAGCTCAGGTGAGAAAAGCCAGAAAGCAGATTCGAATTCGTAATGGAATACCGCTCATAGTGAGTATTTTGCTTTTCATCATGTAGAACATTTGAGAGAAATCGACAAAACCGAAATGCCGTGAGGTCTGGAAATTTTATTCGACAGCTGGACGTGATGGACGTGCCGGATGAAGTTCTCCGTCGACCTTACGACGAATTAAATGAGACCAACAAAGAACTCGTGGCGGTCGCCATAGGTTGCGCCAAAGTCCTGGACTCCCTCGGCAGCAGTCCAAAGGTCAAAGAGGAGCTCCGCAAGCATGGCGTCGTTCCTCTGATGTCGCGCTTTTTGAGATCGAGGCACACTCAGCTGATCGTACCCACGATGGGCGTCGTGCAGCAGTGCGCTGATCTGGTTATATCGCAAACTTAGATACTGCAAACTTGCTAGTTAATAAATAGAAAGATAATATAAATATTTATTTGTAATTACTTTATTTTTGTATCTTTGTAATTTTGTGCACGCGTGCTCTGTTCTGGAAGCGCACTTTGCTAATCTGCTCGCGTGCTCGCAGAACGTATTCAGGGAGGAGTTCGAGCGAGTCGGTATGATTGACGAGTTGGTGCGCCACTTGAAGAACGAAAACGTGAAGCTCAAGGAGAACTGCGCCCTGGCGATCTTTAAGTGCGCCTCGAACCAGGAGACCCGCAGCAGGGTGCGAAAGTCTGGCGGTCTGGACCCGCTGTGTCGGCTCGTGCAGAGCGACACGGTACGCGCTAATAAACGTCTACTGGCCGCGGTGACCGGTGCCGTTTGGAAGTGCGCCATGAGCCCGGAAAACGTGACGAGATTCAATCAAAACGACCTGGTGACGTCGCTGGTGCCACTTCTCGAGGAGAACGAAGACGAGCGAGTGTTGGCTAACGTTGTGGGCGCCCTCGCCGAGTGCTGTAGGGATCCCGCTAACAGGACCGTCTTAAAGACTAACGAGGGCCTGCCGAAACTGGTAAAGATCGCTGTTCGAGACGCGAGCCTGGAGTGTACTCTTGTCCGCAGTTTACTTCCTTTGCAGAATGAAACTTCGGTCCTTCATACGAAACGATAACTCTGCATACTTACGCTAACGATGGCTGAAATATCGTGGAGCACCGAGGGGAAAAAAGAGAATCAATTCTATAGAGACTACTTTTTTTTGGAGTCCAATGGGAATGTTACGTTCAAATATTAAAACCAATAACAGCGAATTTCTAGTAAACGAATTTCTAGTCTTGCAAACGAACGTAAATGAGACTCTCGTCTCAAAATAGTTCTATAACGATTGCATCTTTGAAATTTTATTATCAAAAGGCGATTTTTGGCGATCGTTCGGTACATGTACCAGGTTGTTATTGAGCAAGTTTACATCAAACATTTTATATATATATATATAAATATTCATACAACACAAATATCATCCAAAATATCTTCCAGAGATATTTCTGCGACGTCTCTAGAATTGTATTTTGGACATTTATATTGTACAGATATTTAATATATATATATATTAAATGTTTGATGTAAATTAGGCCAATGACAATCAGATACATGTACCAAACGATCGCCAATAATCGCCTGTAGTGTCCTAAATTGGCTCGACGTCTCCAACTACGTAAATTTTCGCAAATGAGACTTCACATAAGCGCTGTTTGATGCTTATTCGAGTTACATTGCAATGTATTCAATGCTTCTCCTTCGTTATTCCACTATCGGCTACTGCAAACCTGAATAGTTGGGAATTCTTGCAGATTAGATTGTTGAGCGCCACGTACGAGCCGTTACTGGAGAACGTGCCGCTGGTGCTGAAAGAGTGCGCCGTCGACGGGACGTGTATGGATATCATCAATGATCCGGAGCATCAGCTGGACGGCGTGCGATTGGTTTGGTCCCTCCTGAAGCACCCCAGCGACGTGATCAAGCGAAACGCCTGTCTTGCTTTGGTGCCTTGCATCAAGCACGCTAAGGACTCACCGGAGATGGTGCGCGCCTTCGTGGGCGGCTTAGAACTTACCGTCAGTCTGCTGGAGAGCAAAAACACGGAAGTGCTAAGCGCGGTTTGCGCCATGATTGCGGAGATCGCCGCTGATCCTGAGAACCTAGGGATCCTCACGGATCACGGTGTCGTGAAGAAATTGGCCGCTCTCGTGGAAACCGTAAGTATCACACTGCTTTGGTTAATATTAACGAAACTTAAAGCAAACTTGTGAATAAAGCTATTGAGAAGTTATAAAGAATTCTTTTCTTTATGACTAGCTGTAACTATTCGTTTCTAATTCTATATATGTCTATTCTTTTCTAATTCTATATATGTCTCTTATCGAGGACGATGAAAAACTACGGGCGAACTTGACGTTAGCGATAGCTTATTGCTGCGAGTGGGACCGCAACAGCTACGAGTTCGGCAAACTGAACGCCGTCGCACCTCTCGTTAATTATATGACCAGCAAAAATAAGAAAGTACTGAAGGGCGTCTGCATCGCCGTTTACCATTTGAGCAAGGAGCCTTTGAATTGCGTGACTATGCATACCTGCGGCGTTATCAAGGTAAAGTCTTTATACTTCTCGCATACGCGACATGAATCGTGTCGCTCGATGTTAAAAGGGCGCGCAGTTTTGCGGAAAGAAATTGTCGAAAGTATTTTGCAAGAAAATGGACATCTTGCTAGCGCTTTTTAACATTGAACGATTCATGCCGCCTCAACGCAACGAAATGACGAATTGTCGGAACGATTTTACGTGTTTTGCCGTCTTATATTGGAATTTGTGATCGAACACTTGAGAATTTCGATATCTCGATGGAATTTTCAAACAGCACGTTTTGCGCTTGGTGGGCTCGGACGATCCGGAGGTGCAAATCGCAGCTGCGTCCACCATACGTCACATAAGGAAGCTCGCATTGACAGCGGAAAAATTCCACTTCAACGAAACGTAACTCTTTTACGCTTTCTATTTTGAAGTTTAAGTTAAAGAACATAACGCGAGCAATTTCTATTTTAAATCTCTTTTAAATTTATCGAATTATTTATTTCTTTGCTTGCAATTACAAGTCAAGGAGTAATCTCTAATTTTCATTCGAATAATTATGGAAAGAATTGTGTATGTGTGTGTGTGTGTTGATTGCATTATACCTGAACATTGAAAGCCAATGTTACGCGATTATGCTGTATTATTCAGTTACAAGTTATATTGCCGCTTTTAGCAAAACTTGAATCGTCGTTTAATTATCTCAACACCGTTTCCGCAGGAGCACGCTACAGGAAACCGATTTCCGTCTGTAAATTGAATTATCGGGAATTATCCGAGGAAAAAAACTGAAGAGAGAAAGAGACGTAAGAAGTGTATAAAATAAAAAGATCTTTATTTGTGCACATTCCTTAATAGCAATTTACAATCATCGTCGATACATTTAAATTTACAATTCCGCTTGAAACCCGTATAACCCGGCGACAATCGTAGCACTGAGCGCGTAATTGAAACGACGTAAAATTTTACGTGTGATCGAAAGAGAGTTTAAGAAAATTTAGTCTCAAAGTCACAAAAAAATGTCGGATATTTTGATCCGCACTTGAAACATCGGATACACAATTATCAATAGTTAAGTTACTCAGCATCAATATGCCAAGTTTGAGCAACACATATCTTAGGGTGCGTCTACAATTTAAAAATAAAGAATGTATAACGTAGAATACACTAAACGAAGAACAGACGACGGTCGCATGCAAATACGATGCAAGTTCACACGTGAGACGTACAAAGTTAAGCTAAACGTAGATGTATACCATCGATCCGCCCTCTCGTTGCATTTGGCGGTTCATGAACTAGCTAAGGAGCTTCTCCCCGAATTCTTTTAAGAGAAAAAGCTTATGTAAAAATAATCGCGCCATTAAACGTCAACCGTAATAAAAAAATTTACCGGAAAAAAGAATCATATAGGTATCACCAGCGAATTTCAATAAATATTCTTTACATGCCATACTTGTTGAATCTTGTTAATTTCTTCAGAATTAAATAGCCGCTCCTTAACAGTCATGTCTAGTATCTTATGTAAGGCATATTAAGGGTTGGTTCCATCAACATCGATTTTACTTAGTTCAAACGCGTTCACAATTTACAATATTGAGAAATCTCATTGTCGAGTAATTTTAATATTAATGTCTTAGGACTAGTTGTTCCAACTTCTTGGTAAGCTACCTAATAGTTAAATCATATATTTGTCTTTGTCTAATTTGAAAAAAAAAAACGAAAACAGACGTATGATTTAACTGTCAAGTAGCTTACCGAGAGATTGGGACAATCAGCGTTTAGAGTAGTAGAACTAGTCAACTATAGACAATCTATGATCAGTTAATTCAAGATTTAAATACTTAATCGACGTTGATTTACCCTCGGTAAAAGATATACTAGAATATATGTATTAACAATTACTACGTATAAGGATGGCGAAAATACACTCGACGTTCCTACTCTATAATACAAAAACATTCCAAAGTTCTGTTCCCAGTCGAGCGACTGGAAACAAAACGCATATTTCCGTGCTATGGCGAACCTGTTTAATCGGTTCTAATTCTATAACCAAACTATCACACTGCTTTGCAAATAATTTATTTTTTAGAGAGAAATACTTTTTTTCTTGTGTACTTTTGTTTGTCCCGTAGTATTCGCTATTAACATAAGATTTTACTCAACCGGATTTCCTAGCAACTTTAACAATCATCGATCTGTGCGGGGGTACTTACAATTTTCAGTCCGGTATCTTTCTTTAATGTCACTTAAAGTGTAGGACACTTAGAAATATATTCAAAAAAGCACAAAGTTTACAATATTTCCTGTCAGAATCTTGAGACAGAGGGAAAGACAATTGGACTTTCACAAGTTCCTCTTAGTGTGATTTGTAATCTTGTTAATCTTGCTTGTTGGTCAACAATGCTTCCGCTGCAGTTTTTACTGCTGCAATGAGAATGCAATTTTACTTTTCTAATTACGTATATCCAAGCAACTTGGAACTTTCAACGGTATCCATTTTTTAATAAACGAGTTCTATCAACTCCCTTACCTGTGTCACGTGCATTGGATAATAATCTGTCTAATCCAGGCTGATACTGCAAAAACTTTGGACGGACAATACGTCGATACAGGATTAAGGAACCATTGTACTCAGTCGGTGCCATCAACCATATATAAAATACACACTGCAACAAATTGTCTCATAACTAACAAGTTTTGTTCTCATCGATATCTGTCTCTAAGGATAATATTTGTGAAGCTATACCTTGAACAACCAATAGACTGGGAACCAACAGACAATATATTCAGAGAAGAATTCTACTATAGTAAATACAGCGAAGACAACCCAGTAAGTGAGCCATTTTGTATCGTCCTCCTTCTTAGGGCTTTCCAGAGCTTTCATAGATTGGTAAGCCGGATAAACAAAGCCAACTATGTTACATACTAGCTGCTGCCCTAGTCCAAATACCAAGTACACAGCTAGCAGTGTTAGTGATCCTATAAAAAAACGAATATTATCAAAGAACGAATATTACATCATTCATGAGAATTCAACCATGACCAAGCAGATTGGAGCGGTTTCTAAAAACGACGTTTTTTCGTTCGACTGAATTCGAACGAAGATCAACAGGTTGTAGATTTTCCGGAAAGAGACGAAATGCATTTGTCCAAAGAAAGCGAAAGAAAGAAAAAGTGACGAAGAGGAGTCACGAGCGATTGCATAACGAGCGATAACGAGCTCCGGTAGACAGAATCCCGTCAATGTCGGCGCGATTAATTATTATCTAATGTATGTGGCGCGTCTGTGTGATCGATAAGAATGACTGGGAAATTCGCGCGATCGTTCCGCGCGACTCACCGAGAAAAATGTACAGTCGATCGATGCCGGTCTTCTCCTCCGCTTGGGCGAACACCTTCGTCCACGGCTTGCTCTCATCCTTCAGGGCTTTCTCGAGGTAGTCCTTCACGGCGACAATTCGGGCCATATTCGCGAAAATTCTCGGACTCCGGACTTTATGCGTGTCGTTGGTTAGCCGTCTACCGCACTGTCGCCGCTGCGTGACATGGCCGACGTTCGATCGACCGATCGATGCTTTCTTCTCTCGACCTCGACCGTGAACTCGATGCTCGATTATCGCGCGTTTAAACGCACAATTGCGCTACAGCATTACCAGCGCCACCGACGAGGTACTAGAAAAAACCGTTGACCTTACGGGTTTTAGCGACACGGAGAAATCTCATCGTACATTTTTATATTTCACCTTTTTCTTATATCCTATATTCTTACTGTTATAAAAAAAAATTAATTAAAATAATAGAATTATAAGCGCCTCGTGTTCCATAAACCGCTCCTACCCACCATCGTCTTGTCTCTTTCTATATCTGTCAATACGATTTCGGCACAATGCTCCGTCCAGAGTCCCTATTCTTGAAATTTTTATGTTTACGTAATTTTCATTGCGCAGCTATTTTATAGTATGATTAAACCTGCGCAGTAAAACTTACATATACGCAACTATTTCAAGAATAGAGGCTAAGTACTATATGTCGATGGTGTAGTCACACGGATAGACAGAAGCGTCTTTGTGTGAAAAACAGTCGGTATTATCAACGTTCTTCAATTACTTCCGGGTCCCTCCGGGCCCTTTGGCCGCGTTGAAAATTTACCTAGGGTTGACAATCTTTAGGAGTATCTCGTCAATGCCAGCGCGCTCAAAATGTGTACTATTCTCAATATGATTTGATTTCACATATTATAAATCAAAGCAACGAGATCTCTTATATCACGAATTATATATACAGGGTGTTCAAAAAGTCCCGGACCGGTGAAATATCTCGAAAACTAAGCATTTTAGAAAAAAATGTTTCAGATAAAAGTTGTGGCGTTTAAAAAGATGTATTTACTGATCACATCAGTTTGACCTTGGGTTGCGTAGCGAAGGTCAGGTCAAG